TCTTTCTTTCTTTCTTTCTTTCTTTCTTTCTTTCTTTCTTTCTTTCTTCCTTTTCCTGGCAAAGATAGTAGGATGGTTCTCTTTGCTACTCTCAAATGAATATAAACACTTTGCCCTCTCCAGGCAGGTAAGAGGTAAGATAATTGATGAGGCTTTCTGTTTCCCTGCACTTGGGTGTTCTTAAAAGAAGTCTGAAATGCTGGAAATAACATCGCCTTTAAAATAGTCTCTGAAAAGGAGAACACAACAGAACTCTCCAGATTCTGCTCTTTAAATTTAGCATTGTCGTCTATGTAAATTGAACTCTTTTACCAGTGATTAAAATAGGTGTTTTATGGGACATTGTGAGGAATATTTCATAAGTGCCTTTTGTGCTTATGTCCTTCTGTCTCACCAGCTAGATGGTTTTGCTCACATTGATAGAAGTCGGGGTCCTCAGTGCGTTGTGACCTTTGTTCCTATACTTCCCTTTGAAATTTTGCTTCTTTTAATCTTTTTTTGTGTGTCTAACTTTATTTTTTTAAATGAACTTTTTCATATAGTCAAGACAAACTTCATTTGAACTTAGTATGGAGTGGAAGATGACATGGAACTCCTGATCTTCCTCTCTCAAGCTCCCCTGTGCTGGTACTCCAAGAGGTTACTAAGACGTGTTTACACAGGGCTAGGCAACAAACCCTGATCTTTGTGGCTCCTAGACAAATGCTCCATCAGATGAATCATATCCACAGTCCTCCTTTGAATAATTTCTATCTCATAAACATTGAACAGTTGCATAGTCTTACAGATTTATTTCTACAGATATTTATATTTAGTCAAACAGTTTCATCACTTTGAGATTTTCTTTGTCTTTATTAAAGTTTTTCCAGTATATATATATATATATATTCATTCTTCAAAAATTCATTTGGATAAAAATAAGCATCAGTATTGCTGATGATTACATGAGACCCTGTTAGATACAGCATGTCAAGTCCTACCCCGGACATACTGTGTCAGTTTCTACTTTGGAATCACACTCCTCCAGCCATGAGCACTGCACACATTTAGAAAAAGTTAGAGCATCAGTTTCACTTTTTCCAGCATTCAAGAGTCACCCCTGCATGGCAAGAAGGAAATCAGATCAGCATTTCTTAAATGAAAGTAGGTGGTACTCGAAGATCACATGGGATTTTCCTGTGTGCAGTTGTATTATAGCCCTTTAAGCTTAGACACTTACAATACAACAATACAGACACATCATCTTACAGTTCAAACTATGTCAAGGTGTGGCTAGAGATGAAGCTAACATGATTTATCTTTTATCTTATATATCTCTAAACACAGCATAGTAAGCTAGTATGTCTTCTCTGATTTCTTTCCTTGATTTATGTCTTGCCATGATTGTGAACTCATGAGATTGTCTGGAATGGTTACCTCAGGACAAGATTTTTTGATTGGCATGCTCCATTCCCCTTTACTG